TCATTCACTAATAAGCATAAATAAAAAAAAACCTAGTAACAGCAAAAGTAGCTCACCTTTTTCAGCCTCTAGGAGTAGGAAATTAAATAAGGGATTGCGGCAGCGAAAAGAAAACAGAGGAAAGAAGAATGGAAGAAAAACGTCGCCTCATCACTGGGCGATTAGCTGATTGTGCAAGGGTCCTAGAACGAATAATAGCAATCTGTATTGTCTCGACACTCGTCTAACGTGACACTGATCGAGGGGCGGGAACGCGAACTACGGCAACAACGGGGGTGCCACTATGCCCTGGACGTCGAGATTGGGGGAGTGAGAGGGTCCCTTCTACAACCCATGGGGGCCGCTGAGTATTAATAAGGTAAGAACTCAATGACTTCGTTATCGTGAACGGTGCCTTTAAGGTAGTCTCTCTTTCCACAATGGCTCTTTTCATTTGTTGTTATGGTGGTCCTGATTCCGAAAGTAAGTCCAGCAGTTGATCACCATGACCTGTTGCCCATCATGAAAGTGTATGGGTCCACTCCTGCAAGTTCCTTCTGAGAAAGGAAACGAAGTACCACGACAAACCTTTTCCTGCTGAGAAAGTTTTGATAGTAGAATCGTTATCCTCGAGTGAATCGAGAAACGCCTGATCTAATCAGGTTCGTGAGAAGACTCCACAATTGGCCTGAAGTATGACTGGTGCACTTTATCCCTAGTAATCTCAGTACTCTCCTCTCGGTCAGAGGAACAGGCATTCGTCAAGCTTCCGGGCCCGTTGGCTCAGCAATGAAAAATATGACTTAATACGTGATACGTAAAATTTGTACGGTTATTTGCAAAAAGTTTTTAATTGAAAATCGGAATGTCCTGTTTAATCCACCGTTATCATCTTCTTCTTTAGTGCTCGTCGAACGATAGATGCCACATTCGATATACTTCAGCGACGATTTGCTGTGCTCCAGAAGCCCCTCCAACTGGAGCCGGGCAGAGGAAGTCGGCTTATCACATCCCTTCTGGTAAGCGTTTTCTCGTTTTCGAACTTTTCAGAACAGATTCGTTTTTACTAGACTAACTTTAGAACACTAAACCGAGTAAGCTTTTGGCAAAGATTCTGAGTGTTAGGTAATTAGGAGATTCGGAGGTTAATATTCGGCCTATACGGTTTGAACGCGCTTAAGCTGTTTTCCGTAACATCATTCATCTCACCATCATTCCGTTTTTTTCTTATAAAGTGTCTAACTTCATGCAAAACCGTAGTACAATCGAGATGCCATCAATCCCTAAGTCTTGCCGGGCAGTGGCTCAATGGGAAATGGCAGGTGTACGGGTTTAGCTGCCTGATTTCACCTGATTCTTTTTTCACTCAAATGAATTACATATGTTGATAAGTGAAGTTTTCCTTTTCATTCAGATCCTGCACAACCTCGTGGCTTGGAAACAAGATATCTCCAAATACGTGGACCGGTATCCTCCAAGTAAAGAATCGCTTGTCGGCCTTCAACCAATCACTCAGACGGAAGGACCCGAAGAGGCTCGGCTAGCCAGGGAACGAATAGTCCAGCATTACGACAATGTCTACGGGGTCGTAATGTAGCAAACTATTCTCCACGTCTTTTTTTTTAAATCTTGCGACGGGTTTTTTAATCTATTCTGCTCAGGAAATAACATTGTACCGTTTATTTCTGTTATATTACTTTGAGCTTGTTGTAGTTTTCACATTGTTATTAATTTTAACGCGTACAAGGTTAGTTATATAAATAGCGGTGTTCTTTTAAGTAAATAAATACCGTTGTCTGTTCGCTGGTAGGTACAGAACCCTCCTTTAAAGGATGAAAGGATAGTATTTATTAACAATTAAATCCGGCTTTTGGGGTGCGCCCCGCGTTCAACTTCCTTTCAGAAACGTAGAGGGGCTTTCGAACATGTGGAATAACTTGCCGTGGCTAGTGGCTGCATAAGCCAGTGTTCCTGTTCTCCCAGACAACTCTGGTACCAATCATCGACCCCAGAAATGTGGAAGGCTCAATTAGTCTGGGCGAGTATCGATTGGAGATTGGATCCCCAAAGACACGTGTGTGATAGTAAGTCGTTTGCCGCTACACCACCTACGGTCACGTGTACCAATTCAGTAGTATACAGCAAGTAGATATGGTAGACGTGTTTGACAAGGCATTAAAATTTCAATCTCGAAGGAATTTTTTGAAGTAGTTCTCGAATAAGGTAGCCGAATGCGAGAAGTGAAGTCTTCTTGCATATCTAACAACATTAACGAGGGATGGACAAAATTCCGGTCTCGAATGGGACTCAAACCATTCACATGGGCTTTCCGGAGACCGTGCTCTTTCGTCCTTACTCTTACTTCGTCAGTCCCCCTGAAGGTGCTTGTACCTATGACTAAAAGTCTCGATCTGTTGACACCGATCTCGCCCTCTCCTCATAATAGATCTCTAGCAATCGGCAAACCGCCAGTTCCTCCTCTGGATTAAATGATACTTTTTGGGACACGAAAATTGACAGAGGACTGTTAGGACAAGCAAGTGGTGTTCTGTGTGCTTATGCCTATAATAAGAGCTTCGAACTGTTGCTGTGCATCTTTAAAATAATGACCTATCTAATTGTAAGGCTCAACTGGTCTGAACCGAATACTTTTCCACTATCCTTGTGGGTGGGGTAGTCCTGTCACTTTCCATCAGTGTCCCCATTGCCTCCTGTACCCCTACCGGATTTTAGCGCTCTAGGTCCAATTTTTCATTTTCTGGCTTTTTCTCAAGCCTGGTTCCCTTCGTTGGGGTCCGGTCCTGCCACCCTTAGGATAATCGGCTATCTAACCATTTTTTCTTCGAAACAAATGATATTCCTCTTAACACGAAATGTGACACAGGACTGAAAGGGCAATGCGAAGAGGGAATTCAGATGCGCCGATGTTTAGAAGTCTCGATCTGTTGCACTTGATCTCAACAATAATTACATATCACAGATGCTGGCCAACGAAAGCCTTGAGGTACCCATAAATAGTGGTACCCAGTGATGTGGAGTGGTAACAACACCATTATCAGATGCCGTTATGAAAGGAACATCTTTCCACAGCGGATTTGTCTACTCGAGAATCCCAAATTACTGTGCAGTGCCTCAAGTCGGTCCATTTCACTGCACTTACCGTCTTACAAACCAAAAAGTCAAAGCTAGATTGTAAATGCCGAAATCGTCAGGATTCGGTTGGTAGGTGGCTCTTCCTCTACAAGGCCTTTTGTCTGCTCTTATCGGTTATTATCAGTTTCCGTCAGAAAGCATGTACAATCCCGCTTTATCCTACATCACCTATTGAAATGCCAAGGTTCCACGGGTAACGCGAATGGCCTTACAGGTATAGCGGTTCTAGCCTTCTATGGTTTGGCTCTTGCCTCCTAAGGCTTTTATCAGCTAATACCAGTCGTTATTAATTCATGTCACTTAGCATCAGTGTTCCCATCGTAACGCCTTTATCTCTTTCAGAATGCCATCATATACAGCCTGTCCCAAAATTATGGGCGCCTACTTGTTGCAATGATTGGAAGCTTCTGAGCAAAGAATAGCAATCGAGATCATATACACGTTTGCTTACATCAAGTGCAACAACAAGCTACAACCACATTAGGAAATATACCTATGAGCACGATTAGAGCCGAAAGTCAGTTCTCGATTTTCTCGCATGTTACACGCAAGTATCCCTCTTCCATTTTTTCTAGCTGTTCTTAGGTCTTGCTTTCACGGATATCAATATAGGATGGCAAAGGCGACAGGTTCCATTCTAATCGGAGACTACACGACGAAGTCAAGTGGATTAAGTTCTGGGGAGCACTATGGCTATTCCTCTAGTGATGAGGAAGTCGGACAGCTTTCATCTTGGATGAGCAGTTTATCTCTCTGCTGAAAGGGTAGCTGGCTGTTTCAGATGTCATGGTCGGATAATACTTCAGTACTCCCACTAGTATGCTCTGTAGCTGAACGTCTTGCCAATTCACACGCCGGTGTTTACGAAACCAACGGCGTCTTACCACATGTCGTGGCTCTACAATAGACATCATTTTGCTCTTCTTACAGCAACCTTTTCGTGAGAGATAGCACTTTCGATGTTTCTATCCATAACATGATCGCTTTAGCTATTAAGGTTTGGCTTTCTCAAGGAAAATTTCTCGTATGAGAGAGCGATGATCGAATGCGTGCTTTTCCTCAAGTGAGTTAGCAATCGTCAGAAAATTTGAACCTACGTTGTCTGTTGAGATCGCAGATGAAGTGACATCCTCGCAAACGGTAGGAATAGCAGTAAGGCTTCTACACAACGACCCGCTCCATCGGCCACTACGGCATGTCCTTCTCTGTCACCAACCTTTTGATAGTATGACATACAAGAGCACGTCTACTCATAAACAAACTACTTTATCAGTCTTATCTTTTTCCGTGTCCCCTCTCACTCAGCCTCTAAGATTAATAAAAGTTTTATTCACGACTTACATTCCGGTGGAATCGCCTTCTTGGGAACCTGTAAGTCAACATACATTTGTGATCAGGTTACTTTTCAAATTACAAGAAGAACATTCTAAGGGCTGTGGGACAAAAATGATGAAGCGCTGATCTGTATGGGAACAGAAACCTATACTTGGAAGAAATGATATTCCTACATCTTCCTACCTCTCCAAGGTTTGCCTTTGACTGATTCTGCTCCTCTGTATAGTTTAATTGCCTTCTGTACGGTCATTTTTGGAATCACAAGAAGTTTCAAGATGTTCTTCCTCTTCTTACATGCAAATGATTGCAAGCGGCATTGTATGAGTCTCCGCCATCTCACAGATAATGGGAGTTCGACCACGGTTAATATGTACATTGCAAAAAAAAGTTACTTGTGCAACTAATCAATAATTAAACGAAGCGAGATTATTCAGTTATTCCCGCTTCAAAAACTTTAATTTTGATGGCCATAATTTTGGGATGGGCGGAGGTGGTATAGTGGCAAGGGCGCACTATGTCACACGCACGGTAAGGGGTTCGAATCACCGGATCGATGCCGGCCTAGGACAACCAAGCCTTCCATCCCTCCAGGGTCGGTGAATTGGTACCAGACTCGTCTGAGAGGATAAAAGCACTGTTTGTACATCGGCTGGCCACCGCAAGTCATTGTATGGGCCACATACGCACTCATTACGCCACTACGATTTTGAACGGAAGTCAAGTGCGGGGGCGCATCCCTCAGATGGGATTGATTAACGCCAGAGACTTTATCCCTATCTTTAATTTTAGGATCCTGTACAAGCTATAGAAAGACCCAAGTCGCTTCGAAGCTGATTCGTCGATTCAGAAATACTTGTCACGCTTGCAAGAGGGAAGCAAACCATGGCGATCATCATGACAACCGCTTTTCGTATGAAATTTTGATATAGTTCCAACTGAATTCGCGATCAACTGTTGAGATTGCGAGTATAACTCAGGAGAATACAATTAATAGTCTTACAAGGATGACGATTTGTGGGCAATACTTGGGCCTCGAATGGGATCGAACCCGAACTTGTGCGTTCCGAGCACGGTGCTCTTTATCCTTTACATTATCGAGACTCCGCATGCCCACTCCTTCTTAATAGCTTACATGCCTTAGCTTATTAGCATTTACACATACAACGTGTTGAGCTGCAGACTCCCAAGGATGTCGATTTGTGGGTGTGAAGTTTTGCCCCATAAATCGCCATCCTTGTGAGACTTTCGCATCGCGTGCTGTAGCGATAAATAGCAGTTAACAAAACAAAACATAAACACTTGATAGTCGTGTTTGCCGTCTTTTTTCGAAGGATCCCGTGACTGCGTTTGACCAACGGTAAAGAACCATGAATGTCGGTTAAACAACATAATCAACATAATGCAACCAACATAATGCATCCGCCTTCGTTTCCGAGAGGTGTTTTGACTTCAAAAAAACAGCAAGGAGAGAGAGAAGGAGTTGAGAGTTTTTCTAAGAGGCAATTTAGTGAAGGCGTACAAACCAAAACAGCCGTAGACATTGCTATTTAGACCAGGCATGGAGCTCAGACGATGGATGGTTTGGCCACATTATATTGTAACGATAATTTGTTGGCGTAACGCTTATTTAATAATTCAGCAGTATTTCTTATTTTTTTATCTTGGCATCAGCGACTCACTGACTTTTTGAGTCCACTTATGATAGCATTTCAGCTTTGAAATAATTGAAGTACCTCATACAGAAAGCAAATACTAGCTTACATTTCATTTCATTTCATTTCATTTATTGACGCAGACAAAGTCCACGTGAGCTACAATCTACAACAAGTGAAGCATCCAGTAACACAACTCTCGCAAGTGTCATAACAGAAATAACTATAACAACTGGAATGTAGAAAAAAAAGCAAACATGATGAGGCATTACGTGGCTAAAAAGAAAAGAGAAAACAGCCAAAATTATGACGTTGATCGAGATTAGCTTAAAAGCGTGCAGGAATCCTCCCTAAGCATTTTTTCGGCCAAATTCTTGAGTGAGCGCAGAGAAATGTGCAAGTTGCCTACCTGGAGGATTTTGTTGAGAAAGGATATAACTCTGATAGAGAAGTAATT